GGAGTCAAGCATGAAGATCTCTTAATGGAATGTGAACAAGCACATCTCTGAGACCTGCTGCCAGAAGCACAGCCATTCTGCAAATGCTTGCTCACTCTTCCCAAAGCTCACATAGACTCTGTCCTAAGGTATTACATTCTAGCCTGAGTGAATTGCACAAGAAAAACAAAACTGTGTGTCCACATAATGATTTCCAGAGGAAGGGACATTGAAAGATTGTTCATAATGGATTAAGCTGGACACAACCCAAGTGATTGCCAGTAGGTGAATAGATTAAAATATGTCCATCCAGTGCAGCCCTGCACAACATAAACACACAACAACATGAGTGAATTTCAAAGCTTCCGTGTTGAGGGCTAGAAGGTCAGTATGACAGAGGACGTGTTACATGTTTCTACCAAGATGAAATCCTACACAAGAGAAATATCATCTGTAGTGACAGAAAGCAAATTCCTGGCACTTGGGGCCAGGGATGGTGGGATAGTCTGTACATTCATTATGGAACAGTTAAGAGATTTTCCCTCTCTCTCTCTCTAAACACACACACACACACACACACACACACACACACATTTATCCATTTCTACAAAATAGTCATTTCTCACAAGCTGTGCTTTTAATATATACACATATGATTTCATATGAAGCCTACCTCAGTAACACTTATTTCAACACAGAACTACTGTGCTATTTGCATCAAAGCAGCCCATGGCCGAGTCATGGAGAGGTGGAGAAAAGAGGGAATGTCATTCTCAAGACTGTCAGGCCTTGTACCCTGGGTTGAGGTAAAATATCTCAGCAGAGGTGCAGCCTGGCTGGAGTGGAGGACGGCCCCAGCCCTGACAGCTCAGGGGAATTTAGTGCTTCCATTCCCATGGTCTCAAGCATTGTGTGATCAGCACAGAGGCTGCTGTCCCATATCAGTGTCATCATCAGCCTCCTGCACTTACTGGAGCCCAGAGAAGCTCTGGGAGGCTGAGCTGCTGACTGGAGGAGAAACCTGCTCTGGAATTTGAAGGAGGCTCATCCGAGCAGAGCAGATGTTGAGGCATTTCCCAGCTGTCCTGGGAGCAGGACCCCAGTTACCGCCGATGTTGCCAATGTTCCCTGTGGGTGGAGATTCTACCTTTTGGAGGCTCAATCCTGAGGACCACTGGGTCAGCACAGGCTGAGACCTGACTTCTGGAGGGAAAGAGAAGCTGAAAACTGCAGAGTCCAGGACAGTGTGTGCTCAGAGAGGAGAGAGGGGTGTGTGGGGGTGAGAGAGGGAGAGAGGAATGATCATGCCCCTGTGGCCTCAGGGAGCCGTTCCCTCCAGGCAGATGTAAGTGGCCTCTGTTCCTCCCAGAAACTCCCCACACCCAGAGGGCAGCTCTCCATGCACATCCATCTCTGGATTGGTTTTTCTCTGCGAGACCTGTCTTGGAGCAGTTTATGTTTTCAGCAGGGAGGAGGAATGTAGAGCAGATAAGCCAAATGTTAACAACTCCACCTTCTCAGAGTGCCAGGCCTGGCAGAGTAACAGACACCATCCACTGTCTTCCCTGCAGGTCTGGGCTGCAGGTGAAAGACCCACAGCTGTGGGGACTTTGGGTCTCATGAAGCCCAGGGCAGCAGGGACCACACGGACCCACCTTTCTGCTCCCCACACCACAGCCATGCCCACCATGCCCTGCCATCACCAGATGTCTCTCAGTGGGTAACCAGGAGAGATTCTCTACTTTTATATTGTAATAGGGCTTGTGCAAGGGACTTCAGGGGCCTGCACCAAATGGTTTGTGTGACTGAGCTGCTGTCCTGGGAGTTCTAGGAAAACTAATTGTGGAGCTAAAACATAACAGTGCCCTGCAGTGAGAGATGCTGCCCACCCTCCATCAGCTGAGACTTCACTTCTCACCTTGTGCAGGGCCTGAGGCAACTCCCAGGGAGGTTAGTTCATTGTTTGAAAAGGAGACAAAAGAGAGAAAAAATAAAAATAACAAAGAAGAAATGCATCAACAGCCTCCATCTGCAAATGGTCTCCAGCTGGAGGAACACAACATTTGTAGGAAATCAGCAAGAATTTACTGTCTTATTAAAGAGACTGGCCAAGGGTGTGAAGCAGAGAGCCTGGCCATAGGGCTGGGAGGAGGAGTCAGGCTGTAAAGGGCTGTGTGCTGCTCTGATGTCTGGAGATCATCCTCCCTAGAGAGGAGTCCCTAGAGAAGGGAACCCACAGCAGGAGCAGGGTCATGTGGAGCTGGGTTAAGACCTGAGAGGCCCTAGGAGAGAGCGAGAGGTCTGAGGAAGGCAGTGGCCATGGAAAGAAGAGGAGGGCGAGTCCAGGGTCTGTTAGCAGTGAGGGTGGTTAGTGGTCATGTCCCCCTCACTTGTAGTCTGGCTGGGACAGAGGAGAGTGCGTCCATGTGCAGGGTGAGTGCCAATGTGCCAGGCCTGGATGCATCACTGGAGACACCAGGCTCCCTGTGCAGAATCAGATGCTGAAGCACATGTACAGATGGATGTGGCTGTACTGACCAGGATTTCCAGGCACAGAAAACAGTTCTGACTCCTACTAATTTAGTCCAGATCCTAGGAGGCTGGGCATTGGGCTGTGTTGCCTCATCCGTCTGTGCATTCCTCAGATGCCTGAGGCTGCCTTGTGATACGCCACCACATATTTGCTTGTCTCTCTCCTGCTCATGGGCATGTCTCATTAAGAGGCAGGTGGCTCCTGAGGGGCTCCAAAGAAGTTAGTGGAAAGACGCTCACAGCCATCGTCTCTGGGTCCAGGGGTTTTGTCTTACACACTTTTTGTCTGAACATGGCGAGGAGCTAAAGCAGCTTCCATTGCAGAGAGTGGTAGCTCAGTGAAAATCAGACTCAGCAGGAGCTCTGGTGCTTGCCTGAGTCTGGGTCATATCTCAGGAGGAACCAGGGATGTGTCCCAGCATGTCATATAGTCACTAACACGAAAGCCACTGCTCAGGGTGCAGGTGAGGAGATGCCCCAGGGACACACAGGTGGGGAGTGTGGCCACATCAGCACAGGGTGCAGGTGAGCAGATGCCCCTGGGGATGCACAGGTGGGGAGCAGCTGCATCAGCACAGGGTGCAGGTGAGCTTGAGACACCCCCAGGGATGCATAGGTGGGTAGTGGTTGAGTCAGCACAGGGTGCAGGTGAGCCTGAGATACACCCAGGGATGCACAGGTGGTGGGCAGATGAGTCAGCACAGGCTGGGAGAGGGAGCCTGCAGGCGTAGATGGGTGAGTGTGGGCACCCACTAGTGTAAAACTCATTTACATCCACTAGTGTAAATGCTGTCCCTCCATTCAAAGTCACCCCTGTGTCAACCCCACCTGCCTTCCTCAGTCCAAGGCGAATAGCTGAGGTGGAGGGAAGTTTACCCTCCTGACCAGGAGCCTGACACCACCCGGCCACCAAAGTAGTGACAGCCTCCTTGGGATGCTTTAGTTTGCATCCGGGCCCCAAAGGAGTCCCTTCTGTGATGGGCATAAGCCCAGTATTCCCATGATGACCCTGCACAGAACAGGGCCTGAGAATTGGCCAAGCTCCTCCAGCCATGAGGATGATGCCCTGCAGGGGACCCAAACACCCAAAACAGGGAGGGTCAAAGTCATGAACTCTGTGCTTTTAGCAATACTCCCCACACACCTAAGGATCCAGGGCCTTGGGATCATGCTCCCAGAGGAGGGACACAGCCCCTGCATGAACCCCTAATCCTCCATCAGTTCTCTGCGGGATAGGTCTTCATGTGAGAATGTCCCTCATTCCCTAGTGTCCCCAGGCCCACTGAAGACTGGGCATGAGCAGCAGATGACCTTGGGGTGAGGAGAGATCTTCCTTGGGAGAGGGTAGTCCCAGAGACTGGAACGAGCAGTTGGAGGGAAAGCAACTTCACTTGGAGCTGCTCAGTGGAGCTGGGCTTGGGGCTTACTGGACCCAGTGACCATCCAGAACCTCTCAGATTACACACATCCTAGACCCTGGGCTGGCATGAATGGGGCCATCATGTCCTTCCTCATCCATCATGCTCTTGGAGGCTGCTGAGCCCTGAGGACTGATTGATGCCTATTTGGATATAATCAGAACTGGCCAGGCACGGTGGCTCACACCTGCAATCTCAGCACTCCAGAAGACTGAGGCAGGAGGACTGCTTGAGGCCCGCAGCTCAAGACCACTTTGGGCAACACAGTGAGATTCCATCTCTCCAAAAATAAACAAAATTTAAAAAGTAGGCAGGCGTGGTGTCATGTGCTTGTAGTCCTAGCTACTGGGGAAACTGAGGCAAGAAAATCACTTGAGCAAAGGAGTTCAAGACTGCAGTGAGCCATGATCGCACCACTGCACTCCAGCCTGGGCAACAGAACAAGACCTCATCTCTGCAAAGAAAAGAGAAAGCTGTGTGCAGATGGAGGCGGTGGCTGGAGTGATACAGCGGTAAGTGAATGAACAATTGCTGGCAAGCAGCAGAAGCTGAGAGGCAGGGAACAGGCCTCCTCTGGAGCCTCAGGAGTCAGCCCTTTGTGCCCCTCAAATGTGGGCTTCTGGCATACGGGGCTGGGACACCGTAGGTTTCTGTCATCTTAAGCAACCCAGTCCCTGGCAGTTAGTTACGGAGGCCCCAGGATTCTCATCCAGCCGTCTGACAAGGGCAAGCTCCAAGGAAGCAATTCCCTCATCTATGTTGTTTGAAAATTTTACAATAATTTACTCTTGTATGGCTCATCATTGTTAACCACCACGAATAAAATAGTAAAGAAATGACCTACATCTTCAGTTGGGAGTTTGGTCGACTGCTTATCAAGTGTAGAATCTTGAACAAGGTTCTGAACAAGTGTAGAATCTTGAACAAGGAATCTGAATGTCTCCATCACGTCATCTGTAGAGTGGGGTGTTCACACCCATGGGGTTTACCTCCCAGGTTGGTGCCGAACTCTCCCTGTGCCATGTCCACTCACCAGCCATGTCCACTCTTCCCCCAAAATGGCACTAGTGACTGTGATGGCTTTCCATTCCCACTATGTTTGTCTCTAACCCCAGCAGCATATCAATGTCAGCAAAACACAACTGAGTGTTCCTCTCCTCATGCCTCTTCAGGGGTTTCTCGCCACCCACCAGATCAGGTGCAAGTTTCCAAGCCTTGCTGGATACCCTCCACATTGAGCTCCACCTGCCTTCCCATCTCCAACCTTCCCAACTCCTGGTGAAAAAGAGCTGGGTGTGTGGATGGTTTCTGAATGCTGAGCACAGCCTTTTGCAGCCAGTCCATTCCTTACACTGTCCCAATTAGGGTCTCTACCCTAAGCCTTTCCATCCTGGAGCCTCCTTCCAGGGCCCCACAACAGAAGTGACTTCCCTGTCCTTTGAATTCTTACAGCACAAGGCCTACTTATCCCCCATTAAATTGCAAACTCCTTTTGTGGAAAAAAAATTATTCATTATTGTGCTATCACACTTAGGAAGAACAGATTGTCAATAAATATTTGCTGAATAAAACAATAACAGTTACAAAATGCTTGTTTTATATGAATTAATACTGGTTCTAAAACTGAGAAATTACCAACAGCACTGATATTCAGCCAGTACACACAAGTCTGGGCACAGCAGTTGTAAAATACTGAAATATCCACTGCCACTGACCCTTAGCATCCAGATGCCCCCCACTGCCACTGCTCTCCTCCCTGGAATGCCTGGACCTCCCACAGGCTCCTAACTAGAGGGCTGACCACAGCCGGGAGCACCCAAGACCCAGAAGCCACATGGCCAAGTCCACTGGTGAAAGCATCCATCCTGACTGATCAGGTCCCGCAGAGTTTCAGTGTTAAATATTTTGATAATATCCCTGATTATAAATAAGGCTCAATTATATAGTTAAAAAATGATGCTTCTCCTCATTGCAAAATCTCTTAGAAGACTCCATAGATATAGGACGGAAGTGGAAAATGATAGTGTGTACATCTCTGAAGGTTTCGGGCACATTCATTAGCACTCTGTCTTCATGTAAACCAAAAGATATGCAGTTTCTTGCCTAGAGAGATGAGAAGACACATCAGCACAGCAGCATAAAACCTTCATCAGAAAAGGATGCCTCATTAATCCATGACATGACAAGAGTCAGCAAACATCCAGGCAGCTGGATCAAGACTTTGTCTATCCATCACCTTGGAGAAGAGCAAAACAGATGGCCTGGGAAGATAAGCACTAAGTTTCTGTTAGTATCTAAAGCAGAGGCTAAAAACCTCCAGGCACACAAGCCAAATTCAACCCTGTCAGGTTTTTAAAATAAACTCTTTTATGTCAGATTCAGCAGGCACATGTACAGGTTTGTCACAGGTGTGTGAGCATAGTACACAACAGTTAGTTTTTTGCCCCTCCCCCTCCTTCCCCTGTCCATCAGTTCCCAGTGTCTATTGCTGCCATCTCTAAGTCAATGGGTTCCCAGTGTTTAGCTCCCATTTGCAAGTGAGAATGTGCATGGTTTTTTTATGAGACCAGTTCTTGCCCTGTCACCAGACTGGAGTGCACTGGCACAATAATAGCTCACTGCAGCCTCATACTCCTGGGTTCAAGTAATCTCTTGCCTCAGCTTTAGCTTCCTGAGTAGCTGAGACTCCAGGTGTGTACCACCATGCCTAGCTATAACTTTTACTTTTTTTTTTGTAGAGATGGGTTTTGCTTTGTTGCCCAGGCTGGTCTTGAACTCCTGGCTTATAGTGATCCTCCCACCTCGGCCTCCCAAAGAACTGGAATTAAAAGCATGAGCCCATATCCAGCCTCCAAGCCCCTTTTTGGAAATTCATTTAACTGGCCCCCAGCCATACTCATTCACCCAGGTACTGTCTGTGGCTACTTTTACTCCACAGGGCAAAGTTAAGTGGCTGCAACAGACACTGTACAGACCACAAAGCCTGAAGTACTTTCTCTTCAGCCCTTTATAGAGGAAGGCTGCCAACCTATGATCTCAATAACAGGGAAATCAATGGCAGCCATTAAGTGGCAGAGATTGGGTGTGTAAGAGGATGCTCAGAATAAACAGGAGAGAAAGATGAAAAGTAGAATGAAGATTTCAAACGTGAGCTTCACCTAATCCATTATTTTTCAAACGACCAGGCCTCTGTAGCTGAAAATCACCTCAAATAGCGTTTCTGATATACAACCTAAAAGCTCAGCTAAGAAAACTTACAAAATCTCTCTGCTTAAACTTCATCCAGCCTTTTTCTCTCCAGCTTCTCCTCTGTGGCCATTGGTTATAAACATATTTATTGACACTTACTAATGCAAGCCAGACAAAGAAATATGAAAAAAGTCATCCTTCCCTCAAGAGTTCAAAGTCTAATGTTATAGATAGGTATGTAAGCAAACAATTTTAAAAACCAGAGGCTGGGTGTGGTGGCTCATGCTTGTAATCCAAGCACTTTGGGAGGCTGAAATGGGCAGATGGCCCAGGATTTTGAGACCAGTCTGGCAATATAGCAAGACTTCATCTCTACAAACATTTTTAAAAAATATGCCAGGCGTGGTGGTGCATGCCTGTAGTCCCAGCTATTCAAACAGCTAAGGTGGGAGGATTGCCTGTGCTCAGGAGTTCAAAGCTGAAGTGAGCTATAAACACACCACAGTGCCCCAGCCTAAGCAACAAAGCCAGACCCCCATCTCTAAAAATTACATTTACAAAAACAATTGTGATCTTTGCTTTAATATTCCTAGAGTGTGATGTGTGAGGCAAGTGGGTGAGGGGGGATGAGTGCTGAAGATGAGGTGGACAGTGAGCCATCAGCATGTCAGTAACACAAAAATCCATGGACATTTCATGCAGTTCCAAGGACCCTATATGAGCTAATTGGGCTCCCATTATTCAAGTATGTTTCTTACCAGTAATAGGATTTTCATAGGTACACCAGATGTCTTCCCAAGACACCTCGACACTAGAAACAAATGGGGTCAAGCAGCCACCAGCTGATACTTGTAAGCACCCATAGAGGACAGGGGGCTATAATGTGCCCCCCATCCTCCAGACAAGCCCACCTCTTCCAACTCCCAAGAGCCTAGAGTATCAGTGGCAGGATGTCATGTGCAATGAAGTTTTTTAGCCCCTTTGTCCTTGTGTTTAAACTCAGTCATGCTTATCCCAGAGGCCTAACTTACACATTTCTAACTCTACTTGCTCTATAAACATTTCCCACAAAGCATGAAGCCACAGGGCATGAGCCTCAAGAACCAAAAACTTAGAAGTGAAAAGAAGTGAAGAGAGGTGCAAACCACGTGGGGACTTCAGGTTGAAAAAGGCTTGAACTCTCATAATCGACATCACACCCAGACAGCGAGATCACGGTGTGTTGATCTCAGAGATCCATACAGTCTGGATCCCAGCATTTGTTAGAGGTGGCCAATCCCGGGCAGGAGGCAATTGTGGATGATGCTTCTCACTGAGGCAATATTGGAGTCATTGAAGCAGAAACATTTTCCATCCACAGCATTCTGGATGTAGGCACAGTAATGACTGGAGTCTACCATTCCCACATGTGCAATTACAGTGAAGAGCTCATACTGCCCTCCAGGCTGGAAAAAGACAGGCATGAGACAGTTCATTTGCCACCACAAATATGATTGCATCACACATTTACACCTGCCCACCCCAGTCCTGATTATGAGACTTCAGAATACTAGACAGCAGTCCTGCCCCATGGCCTGCATGCACCCTCTGGGAGGGGCTTTCCTGAGCATGGATCCTGAACTGCAAAGGCTCAGCAGCTTGAAAGAGCAGAGCACACTGGAGATAAAAGGCAGGAGGTCATGAGACAGCCCCAAAAGCCAGGCAAGATTAGAACCTTCCCCTGGGAGGGGTGGGTATCATCAGAACATAGTTCTGTTTCTCCACAGCTCAGGAATGCCCTAACCTGAGCCAGTGTTCACAGCCAAAAGTATCCTTTGTGGGGGAAGGGGAGACAGAGGGCAAGGGAAGCACATGGAAAGCTGAGTCACCCACAGTGCAGGCTCAGGTTATTCCCTACTTCTATTTGTGGACCTTGTGTGGGACTTCATAAAATGCAGGGCAATATCTGTACCTAAATATTAGTTTACAAGGAATAAAAGGGTTAGAGAAACATGCTGAATGACACCAGCCAGCCAGTTCAACCAAATCAACTGCAAGGAAAAGAAAAGCAACAGAAATTTAAAAGGAACTTAAGAAAAGAGAGAAACTTAATCAAATGCAAGTGTAGGCATTGCTTGGATCTAGATTCAAACAAACCACATAAAGAATAGTCAAAAAGTCTGCACATTTACCACATATTTGATGCTATCGAAGAATTACAAGATGGAGCTGGTTATGTTTTGAGTGCTTATTCTTTAGGGATGCATAATGAAGTGTTTACCAATAAAGTAGGATGGTGTATGAGATTTTCTTTAAAAAATCCAGTACAGGATTGGATGAAACAAGATTCTGGAAGATTTATAGGAAGAGCAAGACCTTCCATGAGTTTTGTAATGATTACAGCTGATGATTCACTGTCTAATTCTTCACTATACACCTTGGTATATATTTGCAATGTTCCATAACAAAGTCTTTGTTGTTGTTGCAAAGACAGAGTCTTGCGTTGTTGTCCAGCTGGGCTCAAACTACAGGACTCAAGCAATCCTCTTAGCCTCTCAAAGAGCTAGGATTACAGGCGTGACCCATGGCACTCAGCCAATAGAGTCCTTTTTAAGCAAAAAATAAAAAGTTTTAAATATACTTCAGGCAGAATGTGCAGGTAGAAACATAAAGAATTAGAAGGTTCTCTCTGAAAAAGAGAATCCTATGAAATGTACACAGCCTAAGTAGGTAAAGAAACCATGTTATAATGGGAGCCATATCAGGCCTTACTTTTCTAAATGCCATGGTTCTAGAAAAAAAATAGCCAAACAGACTATAAAAACAGAAGAGACAATCCAAAAATAGAACTACACATATAGGAATACAAAATTTGCTGTGTAGCATGTCAAATCTATGGAGAAAACATATTTGTATCTTTTTTCTTTTGTTTTTCCTGTTGTGTTTTATTTTTAGAGACAGGATCTTGTGCTGTCACCCAGGCTGGAGTACAGTGATAGATCATCGCTCACTGCAGCCTCAAACTCCTGGGCTCAATTTTCCTACCTAGGCCTCCCAAGTAGCTGGGACTACAGAGGTTTCCTACCACACCCAGCTAATTTTTTTTTTAGATGGAGTCTCACTCGGTATTTCAGGCTGGAGTACAATGGTGTGATATTGGCTCACTGCCACCTCCACCTCTGAGGTCCTGGTTCAAGCAATTCTCCTAACTCAGCCTCCCAAGTAGCTGGAATTACAGGCATGAGCCACCATGCCCAGCTAATTTTTGTATTTTTTAGTAGAGATGGGGTTTCACCATGTTGGCCAGTCTGTTCTTGAACTTTTGACCTCATGATCTGCCCACCTCTGCCTCCCAAAGTACTCAGATTTCAGAGATGGGGGTACTATGTTGCCCAGGCAGGTCTCGAACTCCTGGGCTCAAGTGATCCTCCTGCCTCAGCATTTTCAAGTGCTGGGATTACAGGCATGAGCCACATCACCTGGCCTGTGTCATTTTTTTTTCTCAGAATCTCTCAATAGGTTATTGTCTCAGGACAAGTGATTTAAACTTTACTCTGATTAAATATGGTCCAGTCAACTGGCTGCTTTATGATTATCCTCAAAGTGGGCACAGGCCATTTGAGAAAGAAAGTTTGGTTGGTACTAAGAACCCACAGTGACATGTTTGCCTATGCATTTCTAGGTATTCCACATGTTATTTCCAAAGGAGCCTACTGAATTCTGGATTCTGTCCCTCAGTGCTGTGAGGCATATGAACACAAATCCAATATTTAGAAAGAAGAAAGCCTTTTAAGGCTGGGCAGTCTCTGAGGAATGGATGGCTTCTAGCAGACTGGGAATGAGGGAAGAGAAAACAGGAAAAATGTAACATCTTGGGAGAGGCAGGATGGCAAGGAGGTCGGAAGCATCCCACCTGCTCCTCAGCATCACAGAGATCTCACTCCACTGGAAGCACCTGGATGAAATCCAGGCTCTGGGAGAAGTACAGGGAGTGGCAGATCTTTCTCACCTGTGAATTCCTGATGGAGAATGGCATGAGGTGGTTTGTCAGAGTCTGAGGCAAATGGGTCAGCTTCAAGACCTGAAAAAGCAAAATCACTCTGGATATAAAGTCCACTTGGAATGGGAGTAAATGAAATGTCTAGACTAATGGTACCCTCTTCCGAAAAAAGAGGGAAGCAGGGTGACATCACAAAGTTCAAGGCTCCCGTTCATTGAATCTGCTAAGCTACTCTGAGAATGATGCAATATGTGGGTATTCTACCACCACCAAGTCCCCACAAGAGGCACAAGGGCACAGGGCTCTGCACAGGCACCAGGACCCAGGGAGCCATGGCATCTGCTCGAGGGAGCTCATCTCACCCTGAGGGAAATGCCCTGCTGGCTGCTCTCAGGCCTTCTCCTCTGGTCCCTCTCAGTTATGTGACCTAAGAAGCCACATCCATGGCTCTAGAGATCAGAACTCCAGGATCCCAGATACTAGCCAGACCCAGATTCCCTTTCTCACCAACCACGAAGCCCCCTTGGGGCCTCTGATGATTCTATCAGGAAATCCACAGAAGGAAACCCCAGACTAGTGAAGAACAGTTGATCCCTGAACAGCACAGGTTTGGACTGTGTGGGTCCACTTAATACACAAATTGTTTTAAATAAATTCAGTCTTCCCTCCCCCATAAGCATGAGTTCCATGTCTGCAACCAAACACTCATTAAAAATACAGTATCCCAGATGCACAACTGCATAGATGAGGAATGGACTTTTCCTATATGTGGGTTCTGCAGGGCTGACTGGGGGACTTGAGTATGTGCGAATTTTAGTAAATGCAGGGGTCTAGAACCAATCCCGTGTGCACCAAGAGACAGCTGAGTCCAGTTTAGGAAATGAGTACCTGTTTCCCATGAGTCTTCTTCCTGCAGTTCTCACAGAAGCACTTACTTTTGCTTGAAAACTCCCTGGGCTGGAAGAATCAGTGCAGGGCATCCTCCTGCCCCACCCAAGAGAAAAGGGAAAAGGCAGCATTTCCCACCTAGAGTACTGTATTCATCTGTTCTCACACCGCTATCAGGAAATAGCTGAGACTGCATAATTTATAAGAAAAGAGGTTTCATTGGCTCATGGTTCTGCAGGCTGAAAGTAAGCATGGTGGCATCTGTTTCTGGGGAGGCCACAGAGAGCTCCCAATCATGGCAGAAGGCCAAATGATAGCAGGCATCTTACATAGAAGGGGCAGGTGCAAGAGAGCAAGTGGGGAGCTGGAATGAAGTGGCATGATCTCAGCTCACTGCAACCTCCACCTCCCAGTTTGAAGTGACTCTCCTGACTCAATCTTCTGAGTAGCTGGGATTACAGTCTGCACCATCATGCTAAGTTTTTGTATTTTTAGTAGAGATAGGATTTTATCATGTTGGCCAGGCTGGTTTTGAACTCCGGACCTCAGGTGATCCACTCGCTTTGGCCTTCCAAATTACTGGGATTACAGGTGAACTATGGCACACTTTGCCTGGCTGCATACTTTAAAACGAGATCTCATGAGAAATCACTCGCTGTCACAGAGACAGTACCATGGGGGATGGTGGAAAACCATTCATGAGAAACCCTCCCCCATGATCCCATCTCCTCCCACCAGACCCTACTGCCAACATTGGGGATTACAACTGAACATGAGATTTTTGGGCAGGGACACAGACCAACAGTATATCAGGGACAGCCTTCCCACACTTTGCAGCTGAGGGTTTCAGCTTTTCTTCTGGTTCTCTTCATACCCCCTTAATGCCTGGCCTGGTGTGGTCCACTGGCAGGATCTCAAAGGTCACCTACTGACTAGAGGAATGAAACAGGAGGGGGCTCCTCTTACAGAAGCAGTATGAGGAAAAAAGAGGTAGGAGGGAAAAAGATTTTTGCCAAAACAAAGGAGAAATCAGCCAGAATCATGAAAATGAAATAAGAAACTTCTCAGAAGCCAGGGCTAGATCCAAGAGGCAAGGGGGAACTGACAACACTGTGCTGTGTGGTAATGTGGCTTGAGTGTTTGTCCTCCCCAAAAGGTTGAAACTGACTCCCCAGTGTGGCTGTATGAAAGGTGGGACCTTCTAGAGATTATTGGGGAGGGCATGGTGGCTCATGCCTGTAACCCCAGCACTTTGGGAGGTGGATCACGAGGCAGGTGGATCACTTAAGTCAGGAGTTTGAGACCAGTCTAGCCAACATGATAAAACCCTATCATGTTGGTATGGTGACACCTATCATGGGGAAACCCCATCCCTTCTAAAAATACAAAACTTAGCAGGGTGTGGTGGTGGCACTGGTAATCCCAGGTACTCAGGAGGCCAAGGCAGAAAAATTGCTTGAACATGGGAGATAGAGATTGCAGTGAGCCAAGACCGCATGATTGCACGCCAGCCTGGGTGACAGAGGAAGATTCTGTCTTCAGAGAAAGGGGGGTGGTGATTAAATCATGAGGGCACAGCCCATATGAATGAATTAATCCACTCATAGATTAATGGGTTTTCCTGGGAATGGGACAGGTGGCTTCACAGGAAGAGGAAAAGAGACTTGAGCTGGCACATAAGCATGCTTGTCTCTTGCCATGTGATGCTCTGCACTGCCTTGCCTCGAGACTCAGAGTCCCCACTAGCAAGCAGGCCCTCATTAGGTGCAGCCCCTCAACCTTGGCTTCCCACCCTCCAGACCTGTAAGAAATACATTACCTACTCACAACAGAAAATGGACTAACACATATGGGAGCAGGAAATACCAAGAGACTCTCCTTACCAATGTCTTCAGGGGCTTTGAGTCCACATTGAAAAGGGAAAGTAGGAGGGTCAGCATGCTGCTCTTTCTCCTACTCTCCATGGCACAGTCAAGGTAAATCAAGGAGTCCTTCATCCAGATCACATATAGGGCCTGCAGCCTCCCCATCTGCAAGAGGTAGCAGCAGAGAGGTGAGACGGAAACACCACCATAAGCCAGGACAGGCCAACTGCCAGAAGTTGGAACCAAGAAATAGAATCTCCAGAAATGGTAACCCCTAATGCTCTTTGTCCCACTCATGAGTTAAATAATCAGCATTTTACACTTTCAAGTGCTCTGGTTCTAGGTTCTTACCAAGTGCACATCAGTGATCTGGTCCTTAATCAGGTTCCAGATTTTGAGGTAGAGTTGGGCAGTATCATGCTGGACAAATACTGGCAAAAGAGAAAAGGAACAGCCAATTAGTGAGGTCTTCAGAGTCACTTCTCATGCCCTGGTACCTAGATGCACACAAACACTCACCACTTTGTCTCTTCCTAGCTTCCCACCCCACTGAAAGGTTAAGTTGGCACTACATATGAAGTGATCAATAAACAAACAATAAAATTAGTATTGATTTTTGAGAACACCCTTTTTTTTTGAGACAGTCTCACTTTGTCCAGGCTGGAGTACAGTGGCACTATCTCAGCTTGCTGCAAACTTCACCCCCTGGTTCAAGTGATTCTCCTTTCTCAGCCTCCTGAATAGCTGAGATTACAGGTACCTGTCACTGCACCTGGCTAATTTTTGTGTTTTTAGTAGAGATGGGGTTTCTGCATCTTGGCCAGGCTGGTCTTGAATTCCTGACCTCTCAATCCAGCCCCCTCAGCCTCCCAAAGTGCTGGGATTACAGACATGAGCCACCATGCCTGGCCGAGAACACTTCTTAAAACTTAAGCTCCAGTGCCAGGTGTAGTGGCTCACACCTATAATCCCAACACTTTGGTAGGCCAAGGTGGGAAAATCACTTGAACCCAGGAGTTTGAGACCAGCCTGGGCAACATAACAAGACTCCGTCTCTATAACAAATTTAAAAAATTCATTGAGTGTGGTGGTGCACACCTGTAGTCAGAGCTACTTGGGAGGCTGAGGCAGAGGCAGGAGGATCACTCAAGCCCAGGATGTTGAGGCTACAGTGAGCTGTGCTTACACCACTGCACTCAGCCTGGGAAATGAGATGTTCACAGGGGACTTTGAACAGCACTGATATATTCCTGAGGATCTAGAAGGCCACACATATGCCCAAGACCTAAGAGGGCTTAATCCTTTCCCTCTGGCTGATCACAAGGCCATGTACAAGAAAGCAATGATGGTGAACACAGAATTATAAACTGTATGCTTTGAAATTGTGCCCTAACAGACACAGAGCCCCTTCACAAATATTGGAAGACTCACTGATTCAGGCATTTAAGGAAATCTCTGACCACTTATTATCTGAACAGTAAGATAACAAAATGGAGAGGTCAGTGGCCAGGCACTACAGGAAATATAGCCATCACAGAATTAGCTCAGGAAGTTGTCACTGAACAATGATCAACAACACGAACGATAACAACAAAACAGCAACAACAACAAACCCTGGTGTGGGGGTCTCTGGTGTCCAGTGTTGCCACCTTACGTTATCTGTAATGTTCATTTTCCAACAGAAGAGACAAGACATAAAATGAAAACAGAAAAGTATGGCCACACATAGGAAAACAGCAATCAGTAGAACTTTTCACCTAGAAGCCCTAGGTGCTGGCCTTACTAAACAAAGACTTTAGCTTTGTTATAATGTGTTCAAAGAACTAAGGAAAACCATGTCAAAAGAAGTAAAAGTAAGAAAATGCTGTCTCGCCAAATGAAGAGTATCAATAAAGAAAAAAACATACAAAAAGAACCAAGCAGAAATTCTTGAGTTGAAGAGTACAATAATGGAAATGAAAAATTTACCAGAGGAAGTCAACAGCAGATTAGAGCTGGTAAAAGAAAGAATCCATAAACTTGGAAATTGGTTGACTGTGGTTATCCAGACTGAAGATGGAAGAAAAACTGAACGTAGTGTCCATGCAGCCGAAAAGCTGGTTAGCTGCTCACCACAAGTAGAATTCAACTAACTTTGATACAAAAACAAGTGTAATACAAAAGAAGGTTTTATACAAAAACATGAATTTATTCTGAAGCCAGCTTGGGGAAGGAGTATGATGCATCCTGCCTTTTTCATGTGCCATTTCTCCTTTGGAAGAGAAAGGGGCTTTTTCATAAGGTGTGTTGTGGGGGTAGGGGGAGTAAGCAATGGTAGTTATCTCCCAGGCAGTTACCATGTACCTGGAAGCTGAGTTGCCACCTTTCTGGGCAGAAGTAAGCTGTCAATGTGGCCAAGTGAGCATGCTTTCTCCCGGTGTTCCTAGTGGGTGAAAGGCCAACCTCTGAAGGGGTTTCAAGCCCACCCCATGGCAGGGAGAGTTCCCTGGTGGGTATGCTTTGGGCTGCAAATCTACTGCCAAGTCTCAGGAAAGATCAGCTGAAGAATGTGCCCTGTTCTCAACCAAACCTCAATCAACCTATCTCCAAGTTTACAGATTCATTATTTTTCCCTGCAGGAACTGTCTGGTGAGTGGGGGGTAAAAGGTGATTTTTGCATTTTTAAAGGGCTAACAGAAAAGGGGAAACATGGGGGTTGGGGGTTGGGAGGGAAAAGGAGAAGTGAAAAGGAAATAACATAAGAAAAATAAACTATCTCTAAGAAAAGGGGAGTACTCAGTTATACCCAGATGGGTTCCCTAGTGAATAATGGGTTCTACCAAACATTTATGGGAAAATTATAACAATTCCTTACAATCCCTTCCAGAAGAAAAAAGCAGAGAGAACACTTCCTAACTAATTCTCTGAGGTCAGCACTATCCTAATACCAAGACCAGACAGACATTTTAAGAAAAAAACCTAGAAACTAGTATCTCTCGTAAACATAAATGCAAAATTCCTCAACAAAATATTAGTGAATCAAATTCAATAAAAAGAATCACAGAGTGACATAAATGAGATGATAGAAAAGGGGGCTCCTGGTGCTCTCCTCTCCCATGGACACTTAGAAAAACTCCTATCTACACACAGATCAACTTCTTCTGAAAGAAACCCAGAAACTAGCTGAGAGAGTCCTGCACATGGGACAATGGAGAAAACATCCACATCAAAATGGGTTGAAAAAGCTCAGACACACTCACACCGCAAGCCCCACCTTAGACACAGTACCTTACTTTAAGGAAGGAATCCCTACTCCTTTCTCCTGAAGAATGAAGGGTTTAGACCACATACAGACAGCCCCAGCTTTTGCAGTTCAAGGGCTTGGCTGCTAGGTCACCTAGCCCTGGGAGTGGACATGGGTCAGCAGTCATGAATCCTCTGTGAACACAGAAGGCAAAGAGGCAGTTTTAAATGGGCATGTGAGCATTTCCAGCAGCTGTGCCCCTGTGCTCAGCATAGAGCAAACAGGCAAAAATGTCAGGCTCCCAGTTTCTCCCTGGAAGGTTATGTGTGCAGGCTTTCCTAGCTGTTGCCTGAGGTGAGGGATGGGCTTCTATTAATAACTAGTCAGCACGTAGAGCCAACCAGGCAGGTAAACAATAGATTTCCAGGAGTCTGGACAGGCATGTGGGCAAGTCCCATGCCTTCTCCCACCCCCTGCCCCAGTATAAAAATCAGGTCTCTAATATCACACATTGAGTACACAACATTTAGCTCTCTCGATGAAGGACTAGCTCCTCAATCACTGAGCTTTGGGAGCTGACAAGGCTCTGTATTTGTCAGTCCCACAAGCCCACAGATATCAAAGAACAGGTATGAGATGTGCATGTAAGCACTTCCAGTGCTAACCCCCAGGCCCAGAGTAGTGTGAAAAGGCAGAAATGCCTGGCTCTCACTTTCTTCTTAGAAGGTATCTGTCTGCACATGTGCAGCTGCTGCCCTGGGGTTGCCACTCATCTGGGAGCTGACAGAGCAGGAAACCAGTACTCCTCTGAGACCCTGAACAGGTAGGTGAGCACTTCCACAGCTGCTCTCACTGGTTTGCTCCACAGATAGTGCCAAGCTTCCAACTAACCTGTCCATCCCTAAGCAGACAGGAGCCAGCATTCACTAGGCCCCTGGGGTGACAAAGAGAAAAGCAATGCATCAAAGGTGTGTGCAGTTTAAACAGGGAGTGCAGGCACTTGCCACAGATCCTCTGTCCAGCTTATTGCAGAGCTTTTCCCTAAGGAAACTCATGCTCCCAGCTTTTCCCTAAGGAGAGAATAAAATGGAAATGCCCCAATATCTCCACCTGCACCTCAAGGGGCTGGCTTCTATCTCCCCTGTCTGGGTAACTGACAGGACTTGACACATTCTAATCTCCTGAGGGCTGCTAAAAGCATAGATGGCAGTTTGGACAAGCACAGGTCAAGAGGTGCTCCAAGTCTCTGGCAGGGCTACTTTGCAAGTTCATCTCTCTACAAGGCCAGTGGGACAAGACTGAGAGATATTTTTCTTATCTAATGTGCAGAAAATAACAGAGAATCCAGAACAATGAAGAAACAGAGAAATATGTTCCAAGCAAAAGAACAAGATAAATCTTCAGAAAATGCCCCAGTGAAATGAAGATAAGTGACTTACCTAATGACTACTCAAAATAATGATTATGAATATGTTTACCATGTCTAGGAGAGAAAAGTATGAATAAAGTAAGAATTTCAGCAAAGAGATAGGAAAAAATTCAAAGTATCAAACAGAAATAATAGAGCTGAAGAATACAATAACTGAAATAAGAGTTCACAAAAGAAGCTCAACAGACTAAATCAAGCAGAAGAAAGGATTAGCAAACTAGAAGATAGGTCGCTGGAAATCATTCAGAGAAGCAAAAACAAAAATGAATGAAAAGGAGTGAAGATGCTGGGCCCAGTGGTTCAGGCCTGTAATCCCAGCACTTTGGGAGGCTGAGGCATGTGGATCACAAGGTCAGGAATTTGAGACTCACCTGATCAACATGGTGAAATCCTGGCTCTACTAAAAATACAAAAATTACCTGGGCATGGTGGTGCACACCTATAATCCCAGCTACTCAGGAGGCGGAGGCAGGAGAATTGCTTGAACCTGGGAGGCAGAGGTTGCAGTGAGCCAAGATCATGCCACTGCACTCTAGCCTGTGTGACAGAGTGAGACTTTGTTTCAAAAAAGAAAAAGGGTGAAGATATCTAAACAGAGTTGTGGGACATGAAGCAGACCAAAATAGGCATTATCAGAGTGCAAGAAGGAAGAGAGTGAGAAGAGACAGAAAGTTTATCCAAGGAATTAACAGTCACGAGTGGCAGATTGACATTTCAGTCAATGGCAGACCATAGAAGCACAATGGCCATAGCATATAGCCTAGGTGTTTAGTAGGCTGCCCCATCTAGGTTTGTGAAGTCTGCTCTATGATGTTCACGCAATGACGAAATCACTTACTGATGTATTTTTCAGAACATATATCTGTTGTTAAGCAACACATAGCTGTAATGACAGAAAATTTCCCAAACCAGGGACAAAATAGAAATCTGTATCCAGGAAGCCCAAAGGACACCATAAGACAACCCACACCAAGCCACAGGATAATTGATTTAAAAAGTTAAAGACAAAGGATTCTGAAAGCAGCATGAGAAAAGCAGTGTGTTATACACAACAGGAAACCTGTAAGTATGGGATTTCTTTTGGGAGTGATGAAAATATTATAAACTTAGATTGTGATGATGAAGGCACATCTCTGTGAATACACTACAAATCTCTGAATTGTATGTTTTTAAATGGATGAATTTTACAGTATGTGATGCACATCTCAATATTGCTATCTTAAAAAAACTAACCTATTAATGAATTATTTTGTAGAACATGTTGTGTTTTTTATTCTTTTATTCTGTTTTCCTGCAGTTCCTTAACTGTGGCTGAATAAGCTTGGAGGATAAACCTTTGCTTATGCTACTGAGAAGCAGAAAAAGGGTGGTATGGAAGTAAAATGTCCATAAATAATATCAATTCTACACCTCCAAAAATGTGTCTCTTACACAAATGTCTCTATAATCTGAGAGTTCCAGGCTACCTAAATTGTTTCTTGTTGCTTCACTGGCTGTTAGCTCCTCTCTTCACTCTGCCTTTAAGCTTCCCACCCCCTTGGAATCAGAAGGCAGGAGCCCAGCAGGACGGCATCTTACCAGCATGCTGTACTTCTGCAGGCAGTAGGCCAGCTCCAGGGGCTGCACTGCATTCTGCCGGCTGTCCTCCATCTTCACCTGCAGCAGAAGCAGCTGGAAAGGGACTCTTCTCCTCTGCTTGTCAGCTCCCTTGGGCACCATGATCCTGCCACAAAAGAATGGATGGAAACTTCCTTACATGTAGTTTTTGAAACTAGGTAATCACTTGGGAAAAAATTTAAATCTCCATATCCAGGCCACGCCCATACAAATTACACCAGAATTCTGGAGGCTGGGGCCCAGTTATCAGAATGTTTTATTTCCCCAGATTATTTCAATGTGTGGCCAAGGTTGAGAAGTACCACATGAGTAAATCTGCTGTACAGGAGACCCTCTAGAGAGGGACATCAGCATGACTGCTGTCTCAGCCCCTCTGCACTCTGCCCAGCAGTCATGTGAGAGCAGAGGGCAGGTGCACAAGGAGGTCCTGGCTCCACATCTCAGGCAAGCAGCAAACATCGAGCCTAAAGCTCTCCAAACTGCAGAGGCACATGCTGGGTTAGGTCCTAGAAAGAAAGGGCAACACGAAGAGCTGTCCTTGTGGTTTGGCAATGATTTATTTACTTACAGGCACTACCTGGATGGGAAAAAGGAGAGAGTACAGGGTAGGAAAGGGGAGAGAGAGAGAGAGAGAGAGAGAGCATGAGAGCGAGAGCGAGAGCACATTGTGTGGGTGTTGGGGGAAGGGAGGTGTGTACTGTCCACTGACTCCTTCCCAACATCAGTCTAGTTCCAACTCTCTCTTTAACCAAGTCAGTGGCCATCAATCCTGTCTGCACTTTAAAATCACCCAAGGAGTGCATTTAAAAAGTATCAATACCTGGGCCCCACCCTATACCAACCTAAGAACTTTTAGAAATAATGTGTAGTCCAGAATATGCAGAAACAGGTCTTCTCTCTGCCAACTTTTGAGAGGACATCTCAAAAAGTTCAAGTCACTGTAAATAACTGAATATATTAAAAATGAAATAATACACATGCTTATCAGCCTGAAGAATAGCCTTACCTCTTCAATATCCTGGTGAAGTCCACGTTCATTACAAACACTTGAATTAAGGAGTTAAGGCAGCAGGTCTGTCCAGCGTTGTGTAAACCAACCAGGCCTATAAGGGAAGAGAAAAAAATACTGAGGGCAAGGCCTAGGTAAAGAATCTGAAACTGCTGGGTGTGGTGGCTCATACCTGTAACCCCAGCACTCTGGGAGGCTGAGGCAGGCGGGTCACCTAAGGTCAGGAGTTGGAGACCAGCCTGGTCCACATGGCGAAAACCCTGTCTCTACTAAAAATACAAAAAATTCAGCTGGGCATCATGGCAGTTGCCTATAATCCCAGCTACTTGGGAGGCTGAGGCAGGAGAATTGCTTGAATCTGGCAGGCGGAGGTTCCAGTGAGCCAAGATTGCACTGCTGTACTCCAGCCTAGACAACAAGAGTGGAACTCTGTCTTAAAAAACAAGAAGTTGACAAAAATAAAATGATTTCTTAAATCTACCAAGGACATGAAATCCTATAAAGTTCTCTCAGAGGTACAAAGTGTTCACTCAAGAGATTGCAAACAAATTGAAGAGAAGATATCAAGCATGAAACTGTAAAAAGTGTGATAACATGGGCCAGGCACAGTGGCTTACACCTGTAATGCCAGCACTTTGGGAGGCCGAGTCAGGTGAATCACCTGAGGTCAGGGGTTAGAGAACAGGCTGGCCAACATGGTGAAACTCCGTCTCTACAAAAATTGGCTGAGCATAGTGATATGTGCCTGTAATCCCAGCTACTTGGGAGGCTGAGGCAGGAGAATTGCTTGAACCTGGCAGGTGGAGGTTACAGTGAGCGAAGATCATGCCACTGCACTCCAGCCTGGGCCACACAGCAAAACTCCATCAAAAGAAAAAGAAAAAGAAAAGAAAAGAAAAGGAAGAAAGGAAGGAAAAAATGAAGGAAGGAAGGAAAGAAAGAGAGAAAAATGTTGAATAAAAAGGAGTTTTAAAAAAGTTCAATAAAAGAAGTTTTAATAGTCTGTTAGGAAAAATGAGATGTCATCAAAAATGTAAATTATTCACTGCCAAATGAGTAGTACAGGCAATTGTTGGGGAAGAAAAAGAAAGAAACATTAGAGAAAGTGTAACTGAGAATTATGGGTTCCTCTCATTCAAAGTGTTCTCCATGGAGCTGAGTCCAAATGTGCATCTGTTGGTCTCGGGACAAGAGGAACTCCCCAGTTTGTCTATGTCCAATGTCAGTGGAGAGGTCCATGCCAAGTACCCACCACAGGGAGGGAGGAGATTAGAAGGCAGGTTTGGGGAAGATTCACCTAATACAATCTCACCCTGAGAGGCTGAAAGTCAGAAGGAACTTACAAAAATAGGAGAAAAACAAAAGGCATTTCTCTGAAGCCTAGCACCCAGCCTCCTCTCTTCCAACCCAACCTTAGGCTCCACAGACCCCACAAGGTGGGCAATTTAAAAGGGAGGAAGCAGCAGTAAAGTCAGAATTTTTGAGGAAAGGGCTTTGCTTATGAGACATGGCAATAAAAAAGTCAAAATTTGGGTTTGCAGGTGAGCACAGATTTCTGCTCCCAGATCATCAGGAGCACACTGCTTCCAGACAGACTGGTACAAAAGTACCTCAGCAGTAAATATGGGAGCTAAGGCTAACTGTCACTAGATCCCCAGCACTGGCTTAAAGCAGTTTCCACAGATCACCCCATTTAATCCTCCCAACAACCCCATGTTTGGTACTGTCATTATCCCTTTTGTATTTGTTTTTTAGAAATAAGATTTTCCTAGAGCCCAGGCTGCATCCTGATATAAAAGATGCAAAAATTAAGGCACAAGAAAGCAGGTGCCATCAGCCACAAAGCTCTGCTGCTTCAGAGCTCAGGGGGTGAGGCAAGCATTGACATGGAGTCAGGAAGAGAAAAATGGGAGGGGCTAATAACATGAGAATAGTCCCAGGCCCCAGGATGCTCTCTGGGCTGATTCTCTTCCTCTTCATGTTGCTGTCTGCTTCCTTCTTTCCAACAAGATCTGCTGGAGACTACGGAGACTCAGCCAGGACTGACAAGTTTCTCTCAGAGGCCCAAAAGCCTTGCCCATTTGTGATCACTCCAAAACCCCAAGGCCTGACTGCCAGGCCCATGTTGGGGACAGCACGACCTCACTTCCAGGAAGAGCTCATGTGAGTGAGCCAGGCACAATGGGATCTCTGTGAAAATACAATGCGGGTAGGTAAGGATTTGAGAAGGGGGTATGTGTATTCATATAATCTGCTCTGATGCCAAAGAGCAGGAGATAACTGGGGAGATGCCTTATAGAGCTCTAGGTTGGGACCCTACTCTGGGTCCCACACATATCCATTCTTCCTCAAAATGGACTGCCAAATCCTTACCCATAATGCCCTCTTGGGGGAAGGACAGGGAAGCTCGCATAAGACTTTGCTTTGCAACCCAGGATCAGGCCCACTTCAGAAAAAGCCAGCATTGAGCAGAGACCCTCAGCCACTGATGCCAGGCTGATACCCACAGAGGAAGTCTCTCAACCCACCCTACACTGGAAGGGAACCTAGGGCCCTGGGAGGACAGACTTGTGTTCTGGCTGCATCACTGCCAGCCGGCTGCAGCAGTCACAGGCCTCAGATAAACCTCAGTTGCAGGCAGGCTGTAGCACCCTCAGGCCCTAGGCACATCCTGGTGCTGGGCTGGTCTCACAGCAGTGGACTCTGAGTGTGATCCAATATTGTGTCAGCCTCAGTGGCCACAGGGTTACGATTGCACCCCTCCCCCAACCTCAGCACAGCAGCATGAAGAGAGACACTATTTGCTTGAGGGAAGAAGAGAGGTAAGTGGAGGACTTTGCCTGGGAACCCAGTGCTAGGTTCACAACAGTAAAGCCCAGACTGGGCAGAGCTGCATCTCCCAGATACTAGACCAGTACCCACAGGCAGATCTCATCACCCTAGTGCTAGATGAGAACACACAGCCCCAGAGACAAAGACAGGGGATCTGGCCCACATCACCACCTGCCAACTACAGTGACCTTGGGCCCTGAATAAGCCTCAGCAGCAGTAGGCAAGCCATCACAACCATGAGTCTTGGGCATGCCCAGTGCTGTGCTTCAGGTGTGACCCAGGGCTGTGTCAGTCTCAGCAGCCAAAGAATTCCAACTGCAGTGATCCTGGGCTTAAGGCATGCCCTAGCACTACAACAGCTGATGCAGTCATGCGTTTAGAGTCCTGACCAATCAGCCTCTCCTTAATTTTGGATAGGTTTACTAATGAAAGAAGAGCCCAAACAAAGCCAGACAATGAAGACTGGCTTTGCTACCTATGTCAATGCACAGACATTGGCACACAGCCATAAGAATCAAGATCAATCAGAGAAACATGACATCACTAAATGAAATATTTTAGGTGCCAGTGACTAACCCTAGAGATACAGAGATGAGGCCTCACATGTTGGCTCATGCCTGTAATCCCAGCACTTTGGAAGGCCAAGGCTGGAGGATCACTTGAGCCCAGAAATTCGAGACCAGTCTAGGCAACATAGTGAGACCCCATTCTCCACAAACATAAAAATAAAAAAACTTGGCCGGGCATGGTGGCTCACGCCTGTAATCCCAGCACTTTAGGAGGCTGAGGTGGGTGGATCACGAGGTCAAGAGATCGAGACCATCCTGGTCAACGTGGTGAAACCCTGTCTCTACTAAAAATACAAAAAATTAGCTGGGCATGGTGGTGCGTGCCTGTAATCCCAGCTACTCAGGAGGCTGAGGCAGGAGAATTGCCTGAACCCAGGAGGCAGAGGTTGCAGTGAGCCGAGATTGTACCATTGCACTCCAGCCTGGGTAACAAGAGTGAAACTCCGTCTCAAAAAAAAAATTAAATTAAATAAAAATTTAAAAAACCTTGACATGAGGCTGCTTGAGGCCAGGAGTTTGAGGCTGCAGTGAAGTATAATTGTGCCACTGACTCCAGCCTGGGCAACAGGATTAGACCTTGTTTCTAAATAAATAAATAAGATGAAATAAAATAACATAATAACAATGAATAACATCAAATCACTATTTCTTATAAAAGGTGGAAGCCTTTTATATATACTGTCTTTTTTATCTTTACACAGCCATGTGAATTAATTACTGATATATACCCATTTTACAGATGAGAAACCTGAGATACAAAGAAATGAGTGCCTTTCCCAAGGTCAAACAACTGGCAAGTGATAGGCCAGATGTAGACGAGCTGGGCAAAGTTGAAGTCTACCATGCTGCTCAAGTGAGAAATCAACTCAGGACCAATTATTGGTGGGAATGTAAATTGGTGAAGCCATTATGCAAAACAGTATGGAGACTCTTTAAAAAACCTAAAAATAGCTGTATCATCTGATCCAGTAATCCCACTTCTGAATACATATGCAAAGGAAAGGGAATCAGTATGTTGAAGAGATCGGCACCCTCATGCCTATTGTGGCCCTACTCATAATACCTGAGATAGAGAATCAACATAAGTGTCTATCAAAAGATGAATGGATTAAAAAAATGTGGACTATATGTATACAATGGAATGTGATTTAGCCATTAAAAGAGAATGAAATCCTGTCATGCACATCAACATGTGAGCCTGGAATACATTATGTTAGTGAAATAACCTGGGTGCAGAAAGATAAATGCCACATGTTCACATGTGAAAACTAAAAAAAGCGTATCTCCTAGAAATAGAGAATAGAAAGCCCGTCACAGTGGCTCACACCTATAATCCCAGCACTTTGGTCGGCTGAGGCAGGAGGATAGCTTGAAGCTATGAGTTCAAGACCAGTTTAGGTAACGTAGCAAGATCCTGTTTCTAAAAATAAAAATAGAATTAGTCTGGCATGGTGGCATGTACCTGTAGTCCCTGTGACTTGGGACACTGAGGCAGGAGGATCAGTTGATCCCAGGAGTTTGCGGCCACAAAAAATTATGATCATGCCACAGCACTCCAGCCTAGGCAACAGAGCAAGACCCTGTCACTTTTTTTTTTTTTTGAAACCGAGTTTCACTCTTTTTGCCCAGGCTGGAGTGCAAGGGTATGATCTTAGCTCACTGCAACCTCTGCCTCCCGGGTTCAAGCGATTGT